CACGTTACCATGTCATCCAAGACAGTGGAATTTGATAATTTGACAGCATCTGAGGTCAAGACTCACGTCCATGCTTAGTTGCTTGCTGACATTCACGATCATGAATCAGTTGGGTCGGAGGTTGACTGGCACCATAAGAAATTAGATGAGCTTAAGCCAGACAATGCAGCTAGCCAAGTCCTGTACTCTTGTTCCACCCTCTCATGGAAGAAAGATGTGAAAGTGTTCGGGACAATGGTGCATGACACAAAAAGAATCAAGTCTTGGAACTTTCTAACAAGTTAATCAATTAGGTATTTCTTGGGTGATAAAAAATTAATTTTTGGAAAATGTAAGTAATCGACTTTTGTGAATGTTTTAATTGAATTAAACTTGAATAAATTTGTAAATTTTGAATGATTAAAGTGATATTTTATTTCAATTTTTCAGAAAAATTATACATTTGCAAAGCATTATTTGAGATTATAAATGTTTAGCAAAAGGAGATACTGGCCTATATTCCTTCTGTTTTTTATGTGTGCTTTCTGTTGTAGGTTGTTAAAGGGAAGATTCTTTTTCTGTTGATTTAATGAAGATATATGATTGTCTTCCAAGACAAAATATTTCTTAAAAACATTAACAATCAAATTATTCTAAAAGCTCTCTTATTTTTTAACTTAGATATATTTTTTAAAATCAAATATAAATGCGTTCAAGAAAAATTTAAAAGTGAGATTTTGATTCTTTATTATTAGGCCTTGTATTGAGATTTTGATTTTTATTGAGTCAATTTACATTCTAGCCAAAATTTTGTTATCCTCAAAAACACTTTTTTTTAGAATAAAAAAATTGATATAATTAATCAATAATGAATTAAAATGATCCAAAAGTTACAGCGATTTCAAATTGGGCGAGCTGGCCCGAAGTGTGATCCCTCTTCCGCTCTTTTCGGACCAAAGCGACAAGACATGCTGCGATATATAAAGCAAATTCAAAAGAAAAGCAAGACATGAATGAAGATAAGAATAAAAAACCAGTAGGCTTAGTTGGGACATACTTTTATTGATGTAGAGCCGTCTGACCATAGAGATTCTTCCAGATTGCTTGCGAATCATAGCCTGGAATCTTTCAACCCAGAAAAGCCCAGTAAAACATGGGTCGGGCCTCAATCTGAGCAATATAAACTAGCAGTTCATGCTTTTGGGTAGATTATTTTTCTTACATTTTTAGGATTATTACGATTCAAAATTCAAGATTTTTATCCGAACTTTATACTTGCTTTCGATTAAATTAATCAACTTAAATTATTTATATAATTAAAAATTTGATATATTATCAATGTATAGTATTTATATACTATCACTTAACCATAAAAGCCTTACTTTATAAATGTAAAAATCTGTCAAAATAAATATTGTTAAAATCATGTGTATTTATTTTTTAAATCATTTTTATTTAGTTTATTAATAAAATAATAATATTTGAAATACTATGCATTGACAGTTCATAAATATTAAACCCTTCAAAATCAACCGTGGTATAAACTTTTTTTGATACTATGAAGTTAAGCCTCACAAATCATATGGTAATTAGGGGAAAGGAGGACCGCATATATTTGATTTGGCCTTTTCTTGCTTTTTGCAATTGCAGCAGTAGACTGACATCCAGACAGCACTGTAAGTCGAGACAGATTTCCAACATCCTGGAACTATTGTCAGTGCCCCATTTGAGATCCCATCCTGACCTGCAATGCACGAGGAAGGTCCACCCAATAGTGAAGTCCCCTTAGGGCTTCAAAAGCACAACATCTCCCACACAAAACTGTCAGACTTGGAAGCCCCTTGCCTTCCCTACCCCTCTCATCATCATTAGTTACTTTTCGTTTTGCCAATAGCTTTTGATCCCACCGCCATCGCTCCCTCTCTCTATTGGATGATTCTCAAAGCACTTTGCACTTCGTTTGGTGGTTATTGGTTTCGGTTTTTCTTCTCTTTTGTTTGCTTTTGTGAACATGGGATGCCACCTTCGCCCCTTTCAAGTTTTACCTTTACCCTCTTTTTTCCAAAGCCATTCTCAATTGTGATATTAACTGATTCCTACCACACGTGGCTTCTCTTGTTGGAAGTTTGAACCTCAATTTTAATTGGTTTGCACCCACCCCTTTTTATTTAAAATTAATTTCAAATTAATGGTAGCATCGCTGTGAAAAAGAAACTGTGGAATATTATTAGATTATCATGGACTTCGAGCATTCAAAATTTGTATATTTATGCATGATTGATAGAAGTTTCCAGTTCATTAATTGCACATGAAATGTCATTTTTAAACTATTGCTTGGATTGGGGGATTTAGTTCTTGTCTAGCACACGTCTTTGTAAAGCATTTTCCTTCTTCGGCAGTTCGGTTACTTTTGGTTTTAAATTGCTAGCTCACAAAAATGTATAATAAAACAAAACTCACTTCCTTGTAAGATGGCTCTTTACATAATCACAAGTTAGGATTTGAGTATTTAACTCGATGCTAAATACATATATTTTTGTACTAAAACTATTTAAGTCTAAATCTCTTTTTTTTAAAAAAAATAAAAAATAAGGACATACTCTTACGTTACTTGAGAATTAATTTGGTAATTCTTGACTAATTTCACTTCCATTTATTTTTTCTAAAATATAAAAAGTAGTAGTAGAGAATTCTTCTTCTCTTAAAAAATTTGAAAATTTGTTTTTTCTAAAAGTGAAAACAATTTGGTTTTTTAGTATAAGTGAGAGTTTTGCTTATGATAAAGAAGATATAATAAACAATTTAGACATACTATTTGAAAATTCTCTTAACTATTTAAAAAATTTTAAATAAATTTTTATTTTTTTATTATATTCGATCAAGTCTCTTATATTTTTATTTTAGATCAAATAGACATTTATGATTAATAATTTATTAATTATTATTAATAAAAACATCATTTATCATTTTCTTTTCACGTGACATTGATGTGATAGGTAAAAATATCATATAATCATGTAATTATATTATATTAATATATCACGTCATCATCTATTATGATAAGTCAATATATCATATTAAGGTCACATGACAAAGAATAACTATTAATATTTTGATTAACAATAATTAATTAATTATTATTTATAAAAACTTATTTAGTTTAAAATAAAAATTTAAAAACTTAAGTGAATGATATAAAATAATAAAAATTTGTTTTAATTTTTATAAATAGTTTAAGAAACCAACGATTTATAGCTAAAAAGACAATACCAAAGATGATCCTTTTACTTTTTATTGTTATATATGCATATATTATAGCAAAATAAAAATGTTATAAAAAAAATAAAAACAAAATTTATTTTTGGAAGAAATCTTAATATTTGTTTTTTTTCTTCGATATTAGAAATTAACTAACCTAAAACTTGCTTTCGCTCAGTGTGAAGGAACAAACTTTTCTTTCTGCTGGTGTACGTGTGAATTCTACCACTTTACAATATGCTTCCTCATTGTCTAAACATATTAAAATATGTTTTTCCATAGGGTAAACAGAATTTCTCTTTTACTTTTCACTTACATGAATTTTTTTTTCCATCTATGTAGTCAAAGTTTTTCACCTATTGTCTATATCTTTGACTCTGTATAAAGTGTAAAAGATTGAAGTTGTTGTTTAGCACTAAAGAAGTAAACGGTGAGTTGCAGCTAACCCAGAATGAGAAATAAAAGGCACACTTGAGCTACCAGCAGCCTATATTACTCTATACTCTAACACTCCCTTGGATTCCTTAAGGCATTAATGTCAAAAAATTTATACTATTCACTTTTTGGCCAACAACTATTAATTACTTACTTTTGTTGTTTCCTTCAAAACCAAAAACTCAAGTCATCACTACTTTTTAAATGCACTTTGAATGGAATGATAATAATTTTTATCATATTTAAATATAAATTTATAATTTTATGATTAATTATTAGTAGAATTGAAATTATAGTATTCTTAAAAAGGTCATAACTGTGAGACGGGGTGAATACAAAATCCGTAAAAGAAAATAATATTTTCTTATCCATGAATTAATTTTAATCTTTAGATGACTGTTTCAAACATTTATATCCCAAACAATGATGCATATGTTACACTTATAAAGGCGTCCAAGGAAAAGGATACAAAATTAGTGAAGTAGGGAAAACTTCTACCTAATAAAGCAAACGAAAAGGACTTCGATTGAAGATTGCAAAAGTAAAATAAAAGCCATGCATGAGAACTCAGACTAAACATGGAGGAACTTTCATCTTTATGCATGCCATTTTGTTTATTGGCGTACGTTTCATTGCAGTGCAAGAAAACCCAATTAAGACCACTAACTTCCAACCACTCCCATCGCAAAATATTCGATTAATTTTATATCATGATTTCCTTGTAATATTGGAGATTATATCCACCTATATATATGCTTTGTTTTTTATTTTTATTTTTTTGGACTTTGATAATTAGGGACATTAATTAATTCCCCCAAGAAGTTATTGAACAGTTAATGCAAGTCTGTCCATTTTAAAGAAGTGGTGAGTGATAAAGAAATTTTGTTAATCCAACTTTGCCCGATTGTCATAACATCCAAAATAATTATGGAGATTTAATAATGTTGAATTTCCAAAAAAATATATACATTGATACATCAGATTACCCAAGTCTCTGAGATCATGTTGAAGAGTAGAGTTAAATAAGAAATGACAGGAAATGGGGCCCCTGTTTCTCAAACCACCATAAAACTATTTCCAACAAGATCGTTTCTCAATATCTTAAGATCAGTAGCTTCCAAAAATCAGAAGAAATTGTCAGTCTTTGAAAGTTCAAAGTCATCACCAGTTTTTTGCTGGAAGGATTTCCCCATCGATTGTGATAGAAAGAAAGAAAGAAAGAAAGAAATAAATAAAGGGTAAAATAATTGTTCTTGCGAGTGACAATGCATCATGGGTGTTTGGATTTAGCAAATGGGACGTATCATGTCTGTCATCTTCTTTGCATTTCAGCCTCTTTTTTGCCTTTCTCTCAAGGTCAACCCCCTGGACAACAACTATGTTTTCAAGGCATCCAACAATAATAGAAGAGTGGTTATATATAAGACATGTTTGGAAAAGACTACCTTCACATCGGATTCACTTAAAATTGTCCATATATATTAATTTTTCCAAGCTCTTACTTTCATAATTATAATTATAATAATAATATTGGGGTCTCTTGTTCATCAAAGCTTTTAACCTAAAAGTTTGCTATGATTTTGAGATACAGTGCAAAAGATTATGTGAGTTAGCAAAGGCAAAGTGGTTTTTTTTCCAACCATGTGTCCAAAATTCTCATGATTTTCCTAATTTGCCTCTCATTTGCTTTAAAAGATTGAGCTTTTAGTTTAGGTAAAAGGTGAATCAGATGTACATGTTATCATATATGCAATTTTAATAATGGGGATGTGATGGAAACATTCAAATCAAAGCATACCAAACATACAAATATTTTCATTTATAAATAGAAATGACTATGAATACTGTGTAATATTCGATTTGATTAAGTAGAATTAAGATATTTTGTAATTAAGTATTAATAAAATTCAAGATAAAATATCTAAAAAATAATTAATATTTTTTTCATTGACTTTTTTATTTATAAATGAGGACATTAGCTTATAGTCGAAGATGATGATTAAAAAGAATGAATCAAGAAGTAAAATAGGCTTTTGACTTTGATGGACATAAATCAACAATCCTTAAAACTTTGTTTAACACGTGTTTAAGTTAGATCCAAGTATTTTATTTACAATATAAAATATAAATCTTATCATATTTCACTGTTTGAATCTCAAACTATGTATGTGTGTCAGTAGAGCAAATGTGACTCTTCAAATTTTTAATTTTCTTTATTATATATATAAAATTTAATTTATATAGTATGATTACTTTTATAATTATTCTTTAATTACTTTTCATATAACATCTTTTATTCATTATTGTTCATAAGTTTTGATACTTCATATATATGTATATATTCTTAATTCACATTCATTAAAACCTTAACTCTTAAAGTTGAACATATCCCATTTTAGAGACGTATTTAACCCAAAAAAAAAAAACTATAACTCAAAGGAAAAAAAATCTGTAAGTCTTAATTAAGGTAATAAGCAAAGAGTCACGAGGTGGTTGAGCTAAATTTTATGATGGTAGCTAATTGGACGTTGCAATTTTAATATTACTCTCCGCAACTTAAAAGAAATCAACCAAATGTAGTTGATTTTGAAATCATTGCAGTGATCACACTGCACCCTTTGGTCCCCCACGACTCAAAATGATAAAAAAAAAAAAACCAAAATGGCCAAAATCATTACAACCTAGGAAAAAATTGAAGTAAGAGCCGACGAGGAACAGCCTAGTTGTATTATTACTAGAGAAATATTAGTAATACAAATGATTAAATTAAAGAAAAATGAATTTTTAAATGGAACTTGGCCAAACCAAATGCCAAAATTAGTGGGTCAATAAAAAAGGTATTAATTATTCACATGATTAGGCAAATAATGCAGAGAAATTAATACGAAAATGGGACCTAAACAAAGAAAAAATCCTGCATTTGCCGGTGGGGATAGGTGGGGGACTAGAATTCTTCACGATCACGAATGATGAATCCATGATTGTGATACAATCTTGCCAGATTGGATTTGAAAGAAAAATGCAGAATTTGTCCTAAGTGAAAACATCCCTTTTTAATTCTACCAAAATACATAAATTCATAGCCACAAGCATCAACGATCAATCCTTTTGCAAACCTTTTTTTTTTTTGGTAAGGTGTTTTTGTTTTTTGTTTTTTTCTTTGTTTGATCAAAGGGAATAAGTAGAATTTTGGAAAACAACTTGTCTTTGTCTCTTCATTCCCTGCAATAAGCTGCACAAATTCGACACAATATATGTCAAAATGGATATAGACATATATTATAGGACCACCAAGAGAAGATAATTTTGTTTTTTGTTTTTGTGAAAAAAAAAATCTATATGGTTAGAGTTTTCCTATTAGTCACTGCCCATCAAAACTAAGGGTTAATTTTCTAGGACCACCCTTAATTGACCAATTTTACTTATTTATCTAGATTTCGTCCCTAATGGTGTTTTAACTTACTTCATGCTAAGGTTAATAGCTTTATAACAAGTTACCAATTTTACCTATTTATATACAGGATCCAATGAATTTACCTATGTAAAAAAAGAAGATAAATTGCTTATATTTTTGTCAACAAAATGATATTTTGCCGAAATATTATGACCCTCTTGTTTCCACTTGGATTTACCCGCCATTGGCAACGGAAACCAACCAAGGACAATTCCCATAAAGCAGAATTGAACGAAGAAAATAATTAATTTAGTCCTACTTTGATTGAAGCCACCTATCGCTTCTCACTCAGAATTCAAGAAACTACCCGTCGCTTAAATTAAATTATTAGTTCTATATATATACAATTTAATTATTTTTTTGTGTAATTATGTTTAATAATGGAGCCGAAACAAGACAATTATCAAATGTTTGTGAAAAATCAGATCTCAATGCACTTGCACGTTTCCTTGTTTTTTTTTTTCCGGAAATTAATATTGTTATTATATTTCGGTAATTCGTCCCTTCACGGATTAAGAATTTTAGATTCATATGAAACCATCATTAGATGAGGTTTCATTTGATTAATTTATTACTTTTTAATCATCCGCATAGTACGCACATGACTAAAAAGCAATTAGAATCGAAGCCGTTGGTTTTCCTTACTTTTGACACATCAGATCCACAGACGGTCGAAACTTTTAGATATTTTACTTCTATAACACACTCTATAACCCCCTTTTATTATTTATTTATTAAAAAAATTTCAATTCGCTTTTTGTTCCTCGTCGCCACAGAAAGCAATGTCACACCGCCAGATCAGTTAATCAATCACAACAACGCCGCCACTGTAAATCACTGAATTTATAAAACCCCAAATAATCCAAAAAAGAAAAAAAAAAGGAAGAGAAATTATAAAAAAAAGAAACAAAAAAGAAAAAGAAAAAGGAATATTACACTAACGCCTTAAAACCGTAGCTCAGCTAAAGAAAGTCCACTCTCCGTTTCTCTCCAAACTTCTCTGAAACATTTGCCGATGTCCAGCGTTACCGTCGGTGAATTCGCTAACCGCCGCTAAGTCTCTCGACTGTTTTTTTTAATTACTATTATTTTCCTGTTCCGTACATGGCGGAGGAGGACGAAGTTGTTTCGAAGACCTTCCGAGCTCTCGTCGAGAACGCGGACCGTAAATTCGCACGAGTCCGGGACTTCCCGTCGTACGGACGGGCACATGGCCAACACTATTTCCAGAAAGTCTTCAAAGCCTACATGCGGTTATGGAAGTACCAGCAAGAGCACCGAACCGAGCTTGTCAAAGCCGGTTTGAACCGGTGGGAGATAGGCGAGATCGCCGGTCGGATCGGCCAGTTGTATTTCGGCCAGTACATGAGGACGAGCGAGGCTAGGTTTCTCCTGGAAGCGTACATTTTTTATGAAGCGATTTTGAAGAGGAAGTATTTTGAAGGGTGTAAAGTGAGGGATCTCGGTGTCCGGTTTAAGGAATTGAGATTTTACGCCCGGTTTTTGCTGGTTTCGTTGATTTTGAACCGGACCGAGATGGTCAAAGTTATTGTTGAAAAGCTTAGAGCTCTTGTTGATGATTGCAAGGCTAATTTCCGGGTAAAAAAAATTTGCTTTTCTTTTTCGTATGGAATTTGATGCTGAAAATTTATATGTTTATTTTTACTATTGTTGGTCATGGTGCTCTTTCAGCTTTGTAGGCTTTGTTTGGCTGCTAAGAGAAATTAAAAAGTTGTTGCTAATTATCTTAGAATAAAAGAGAAAATTTTTTTCCTCAATTTTTTGGGATGTTAAGAAACTGAAAAGAACTTTTTCCCCTTTTAATTTCTTCTCTATGGCATATGAGCTATGACGGTATGAGGAACGCTGGGGAAGGAAGATTATTGAATATTTTTTATTACCATTTTAATTACCAATAAATTATTTTCAAGTAATTGATTCAATCCTTTTCCTTACTCCAAATATATACAAAGTGCCATTTAGGTAGCTTCTATACCTTGAGTTTTCATAAAATATCTAAATTTTGAATAAATGAATGGATCTGTTTTGCACTCTTTTTTTTTGCTTTAATCCTCATTTTTCTCCTTTTCTCCCCCTCATTTTTCTAATATCTTGTTTAGTGCTTTGCAATAAGTAAGTAAAGGAAAAACAAATACCTGTATTTTTTCAATTATTTAAAGTCAGTTATCGCATATTTGACTAATCATTAAATTTGTTCATAATATTAACTGAGGTAAAAATTGAGGATGGCATCATGTTCAAGTGATGTTTTAAGTCTATTTTTTAGTCTATTCTTATAAACCTTATGTTTTTCATTTTTGTGTAAGAATTGAAATATTTTGCATTTCTTGGGTTGAGTTAGATTTTTTTCTGCACTTCAAAGTATTTGGCGTGAAAATTTGTTAGAATATTTTTGTTTAAATTAATGAATATGAATGTTTTATTTCCTGCATTTCCTTTTAGTAATGATGGCTTCTGAGTGCTAGAGGATGACGAAGCATTTTATAGTGACATTGTAGATTTTAGATGAACGTATTCTGACTCTTCCATCATTACTAGCTTATGCAAAATAGCAGCTACCAATCAAGGCATATGACTTCTTATTTTTGCAGGAAACAAATTTTAAAGAGTGGAAGCTACTAGTGCAAGAAATTGTTCGCTTTATGAATGTCGATACAACTTTTACAATTACAAGTGCCAGGCCATTTCGCTACTGTGCTATGTTTGACCGTCATCCAAGTTCTGTTCCATATGTGGCTCGATTCCATGCAAAGAAGGTTCTAAAGTTTCGAGATGCAATCCTGATGAGTTATCACCGGAATGAGGTGAAAGCTATTTTGGTGGTCTGATATTGAGTCTGAGATTGTTCAAAGTTAGCTGTAACTGCAAATTGAGATTTCCATAATATGTTGTTCTGTTGTCATTTTCAGGTAAAATTTGCAGAACTTACTCTGGATGCATACAGAATGCTGCAATGTTTGGAATGGGAGCCCAGTGGATCATTTTACCAAAAGCATCCAGCTGAACCAAAGGAGAATGGTGTTGCAGTCGATTATTCTGGAGCTTCTGGACTAATAGATATGAATTTGGCTGCAGAGATGACTGATCCTTCTTTACCTCCAAATCCTAGGAAGGCTATCCTGTATCGACCATCTGTAACACACTTGATAGCAGTGAGTTGTAAAGCCTTCTTTGTTGAACTTACTTCTGTAACATTTTTCTGTTAGTAGGAAGCAATTAGGCCAGTGCTGCTTTTCTTAGATTATTTCAATTGGCTTATCTGACTGCATTTTTAGGCTATCAATGACATAATGAAACGAAACAAAATGAAAAGAAAAAAGTATGTGAGTTTCTTAGAAATTTGATATGTAATGTTAATTTACTTTATGAGCCTCGGTTATCAAGAGATTTGTTATTTGATATTAATGTGTTTTCTGTGGTTTATTATTATGTTGGAAAAGGATACTGTGGAGCATTAGGCATAATTTCTACATAAATCAATGACTAAGAATCTGTAATTCAATGAAAACTTAAACCAAGTTGGATGGTTCTGGTCATTAATAATTGGTTTCTAGCCTGCTAAAATTATATATATTCTGCTTTTCAATATGTATGTATGTATATATATATATATATGTATGTATATATATATATATATATATATTCTTTTGTGCCTTATCTGTATTTTTTAAAATTTGGTTTTGCATGGATATAATTATCAAGGATCATGTTTGACAAATAATGTTTGGGCAGGCTATGGCAACAATTTGCGAGGAGCTCCCTCCAGAGAGCATTATGCTAGTTTATCTATCAGCCTCAGGTAATTTTGCTTCCACATTATTATTATCTCAGAATTTTTTTTTTTATTAAAATAATTTGATGTGTTTCTTCTTCTTAAGTTGTTGACACCATGAAATATGCAGGGAAGCCTGGTCATATTACTGCTTCTCCGGTAGAAAATTCAGGAAGGTCTAGGCGTACAACAAAAAGCAAACTTGCTTCTCACAATTCCCTAGAACTGAATAAATCTACACCTGAATCCCACATTAATGGCAAGAAAGGCTCTTGTGACTTTTATGAGGATTATCTGTGGTTAGGTCCTCAATCAAATGGTGGTAGGTAGCCATAGCCATATTTAATGCTATATGCTATCTTTAGCTTTTATGCTAAGGGTTTTGTGAACCAAAACTCCTGAATTTATGTCCAATGTGAATTTTATTCATTATGTTCCAATTAATCTTGAGTATGCTTCTCTGGGATTTGCAGGTTCAAGTAATCTCTACCCTGGTGATATAATTCCTTTCACCCGAAGACCACTTTTCCTGATCATTGATAGTGACAGCAGCCATGCATTCAAGGCAGGTTTGTCATAACTTGTGTATGCCTTGTCATGATAGGTATATTTACTCTATATAAATGTACAGATATATATAAATTTAGTTTGTGCCAGATTTTGCCACGATATCCAAAAGGTGTCACGTTATAGTATTTTTTGGTGGGCTATTAGGAAATATTGTCATTCATGACAACTTTGAATCACTTATTTTCCTTCCAATGCCTGCTATGTGATTACCTATGGCATTCATGACATGGAGTTGGATTAAAAAGATGAAAAAAGCAATGTGAAGATTTGAAAAGATACATAAAACCTCCAGACTGGTCTGGGATAATGCAGTAGATTGCTCTTACTGCAACTTGCCAAAAACGTTAAATTCATTGCGATGCCTTTGGGGATGAAAATGATGGATAGTCAACTCAACAGAAGTAATGATATTTACCCAGAGTATGATTAAAAAGAGTACCTATTGGCATTCATGACATGGAGTTGGATTAAAAAGATGAAAAAAGCAATGTGAAGATTTGAAAAGATACATAAAACCTCCAGACTGATCTGTGATAATGAAGTAGATTGCTCTTACTGCAACTTGCGAATAACGTTAAATTCATTGCGATGCCTTTTGGGATGAAAATGAGGGATAGTCAACTCAACAGAAGAAATGGTATTTACCCAGAGTATGATTAAAATGAGGTAAAAAGCAATTTGAAGGTTTGAGAGGATACTTGAAACCTCTAAGCTGGTCTGCAATCATGAGGTAGATTGCTCTTGTTGCAATGTGCAAATAAAGGCCCCTTTTGATTGCTTTCAGAGATGATAACGATATATGGTAAGTGAAGAGAACAGATGAATTTTACCCTTTGTATGAAATTTTGATGGATAGGCTTCATTTATTCTGCTGCTTAATTCGAAGGTTTCATATATCTTTCCCCAGTAAGAGGTGAACCTACATGTAATATGCTCTTTCAATAATCCATCTGAGATGAAAACATAAAAAGAAATAAAACAAAAATTACAACAGCCTCTTCTGAGTATTAAACCTCTATGAACATGTTTGTTTAGTGCCGGGTGTTAGGTTCTTCTACTCCTTTCGGAAGAGGTGTGGGGTCTGCTAACATGCAAATAGCTTCATGGAAGTAGTTAACTGTGTTTGTACTATTTGTGATGGTAGGCTTTGCAGTATCTCTTCTTGCTTTCATCTGAATTCTTGTTTATCCATAAAGTTGCTAACATCATAAAATATGAATTTCAGGTCTTACATGGTGCAGAAAGAGGAGAGAAAGCTGCCCTACTACTTTCGCCACTAAGACCAATGTTCAAGGACCCATCTAGTGCTGATATTATTCAGAATGGAAGTCAATTTACCTTTTTCTTGACTTCTCCTTTACAAGCATTTTGCCAGATGGTTGGCTTCTCCTTGTCTGATAGTGATGTGGTAAGTTGATTTCAAAATATTTTGAGTTTTTTAATAATACATCCTCTGATTCAATCCGTGCCAGTTGGTCTTACTTTCACTTGTTTATACTTTTCTACTTTTAGGAAGTTTTCACTAGTGCTGAAAACATACTATCTACTGCTTTCTCCAAGTGGGAAGTCATTCTCTGCAAATCACCTAGCCTGGATCTGGTTTGGGCACAGGTTTTATCTGATCCTTTTCTAAGGCGGCTTATTGTTAGGTATTTTATCTCTTCATCTTTGTCTCAATAATTTTGTGCAAGTATACAAATCAATTTCACTTCATATGGTTTAGTGGGGACATGCTGGGACAAAAAATTTACTTAATGATATCATAGGACAGAGAGAAAGCTTTTTGCCTTTTCTCTTATTACACCCCTACACACTTGTTGACCCTGGTTTGGGTTGCCATTACTCACTATTACCGAGTGGAAGTGGTTGGGAGATGCTGCTAGGGCTTTAGAATATATAGGTGTGCCATCATCTGAGTCTGGTCTTGTACAATTTGGTTGCTTAGATGAACATAGTAATGGCTTGATCTTGTGACTTTTCTTCAGATTCATATTCTGTCGAGCTGTGCTCTCTGCCTTCTGCCCTCCAGAAGGGAGTGATCAATATCTGCCCGTTTGCCTACCACAACTTCCTAATTCTCTCTCCCCGAAGTCCGATGTTGTGCAGTCTTCTGTCGGCCATCTTGCGGATCACCTGAAAGTTGCTGACTGCTTCCACTTTGACGGCATGTAAATAGGACCAGAAGTTGATGAAGTCTGTAATATAACATTGTGGCTTTCTGGTAGGAAGTTTCGCTTCATATAGATTTAATTTAATGGCACAGTAGCTCCTCGAAGTTCACCATCAGTTGGCCTTTCTGGGCACTTAAAGGGTATATGATTGCTGAGTGGGCTCAAGCCGGCATTGTCGAGGGTATTTGTTCGAGCATGCTTGCTTCAGCTTCTTTAGTTGCCTATGCACGACCTTGTTGGTGTATTTGATATGTGTGCAGACGCTGGTTTGGTAATGTGTGCGGATGCTGGTTTGCTACTTCGTTAAGATGGGGTTTGATAACTTGCAAGGTGTGTATGAATATAGCTGGGTAATCGTTAGGAGCCCATTGGTGTATAAGGTAATTACCGTCATGCCTGTTAAGAGCCTTTTCTGATTAGTATTTTTTTTTTCATTTTCCTTTTTGTTAACTTTGTAAAAGAGAAATGAGGTAGGCTAGTGGGATTAATTTTTTTTTTCTTTCCCCTTTTGGTCAGTTTGATTTACATGTTTTCTCAAAGAAAAAAAGTTGATGAAGAGCTAGAATGTAAATTGAATACTCGTAATTGAGGAATGGTTTCAACACTTGTAATTGTATTTGTATTTTCTTTACAATCAATGACAGCAAATCTAATAAGACCGTATGAAACCATCCTGATTCCAGACTTTGTGAATACGAATTTTTATTTTTTGGGGGTCTCAAATTGAATGTTTAATTTTCAAATGACATAAAATCTGCAAAATGGAATATTTTGTTCTTTATTTAATAATCTGTACTTTTCGACTGTCATAAAATTAAAAGCTTCTATTTAATTTTCTTGACGAGATAATGATGCATTTTTTAATTTGACAAATAAATATTATTTTGAGACAACTTTAAAAAAAAAAGACAAATATTTAATTTGAAATGAAAAGAATATGTTCCCAAAAAAATATATCGTGCACTCGAAAGGTAGGGGGAATTAGCCTTGCGATCGACACTTTCATCCACTTTATTTATTGCTTTTTTTTTCCCTATTTTGTTTGTCTATTTTCTTTTTTGAATGGCTTAAAATGATGTCATCTTTTTTTAATACGCAATACTTTTAAATTTTTTATATATTATGAATTTCTTTTTTTCTAATTTTTAACTTTTTGACGTTAAATATCACATAATATCAATTTTATGAAAAGGGAAAGGTAACAAAGAATATGGGAGAAAAGGTGTTTAGGAACGACATTTCCATGCCTATTCAAAACTTGAAAATCCCTCAATTTTTTTTTTTAAATTCCTCAAATTGCTTGAACACCTAAGCATGATTCCCTTCATTACAAGTATTTAAAATATAATAAATTAATTAATAACATAATATACTTATAATTCCAAGAGACAAAATATAGAAGCTTAAAAATAATAATAAAATAATTAATCAAATAAAATACCATGGATTTTCTAAAGTATCTTATCCTTTATAATCAATTACTAAATTAATTTTACAATTGTGTAAGTAGACCCTCCTCTCTTAAAAGAATATACGATGTTTGTATTAGACTTGTGTGTAAAAAAAAAAAAACTTTAATTTTGACAATTAGCAGTTTGAAATATTAAGGTTATTTTAATATTTAGTAGTAATTTAAAAATAAATAACTTTTTAAAATTTAGGTGTAAAACTTTAGTTTTATATTTTTGTATTATTTTGTTTAACTCTTCTCAAAGAGTTTACTTTTAACTGTTATGCCAAAAAAGGAAAATGGTAACACGTCTTTAAGCAAAGGAATCCCTAATATCAATCTGTTCAAACAAGCTTCTCTAATCCCATTTTGCTATGCCCTATCAGTCTTACCATTTCCTTGCTTTGTTTCAATTTTGGGGTTTTCAAGAACTGGAGAATGGTTGCAGTTTAGGGGAGCTCCGATCCCACTGATAGCTTATCACTCAGAACCAGGTTTGCAAATCCCAATCTCCTAAGCTAGCAAAAAGAAAGAAAGAAAGGAAAAAAAAAAAGAAACCCAAAACTCGAAAGCCATGGTGGTTGCTAGTTCCAATCCTCACAACAGGGAGATGCAAATCCGTAGAAGAATAAACAGCATGTATTTCTCTCTCTCTCTCTCTGCTGCCTGTTTGTCTGTCTATTGCTATTCAGCATTAATGATGCAAAAAATCAACCCCTTTTTTTAATATATATATATAGATTCAATAAAAGAGAAGATGATTTTCCATCCCTGAGAGAATACAATGATTATTTGGAAGAAGTGGAAGATATGAGTAAGTTGTGCAAATTCCGTATCCCAAACCATTTGGGTTTTCTAGCTAAATATGTTAATTTGGGGTTTTTGGGCAGTTTTTAATTTGATTGAAGGAATAGATGTTCAAGCTATTGAAGAAAAAATCAGTAAGTATCAGGTAGAAAATGCTGAGCAGATTATGATCAATCAAGCTCGGAAGGTAAATCTGAAGAACTCTTTTCTTTCATCTGTCTCTCTCGTTTCCCCCAGGGTGATTGAGGTTTATAGTAGTATCATTAACTATTTTTTGATGATTTCCTAATGTCAGCTGTTTTGATCCAACAGGCTGAAGATTTAGCTGCAGCTATGGCGGCAAGCAAGGGACTTCCCATACAGGCTGATGCTGATGGGGTGAGAGAATTTTATTAATTATCGTTGCTAATTTTCAGTCAGTTATCTTGTTGAATTTCTATTCTCAACTATAAAGCATTGATCGGCAGTTGGCCTTATGTTGTTAGAACAATGCCTTGGATTAATCTCAATATTTAAAGTTGTTGTAGTTAATCAATGAACGTCATTTATGTTGCTACTTGCTTCGGGAAAAATGATTAATAGCCAGTTCAAATATTGTGACTTTTTAGATAGATGATGATGGTGGACTTTACTGTTTTCTGGGTTTTCTTTTTTTTTTTTTTAAATTCTAAACTTATTCATTTAATTTTGTTTCATATTACTACAAAGAAGAGAAAATATGCCAGGGTGGAAGTTTATTTTGTCGAACCTTAGTATTCATGTTTTTGACATCCGGTTAACCTTCTGCTAGTTTTGATTTGAACATTTTCAGCTTACTCTAATTTGCATTATTTCCAGGACTTATAACTATATTTCCGTCTTTATTTCTCTAAATAATGTTTACTCCATTTTGATTAATTGTATTTCAGTTTGTAATTGAGATTTGGGACAACGTTAATGTATTTTGTTCGCTTGAAGTTGCTTAAATGGTTTATGAGTGCCGTACTTTCTGAGTAAATTCTTCTTAGCTTCCATGTTTCTGCAACAATTCTTCTTCTGCTGCTCTCATAAGCAAGAATAATGGATATTTTGACAGATTGACTTTTTAAATTTCTTTCATTCTATTGTTTCTGCCATCATACATGCAACCTGTTTTAAATTGATTGTTTGCTTTTTTGAAACAGGCCTTAAGCCAGAGCTCTCAAGCAGGGTTTGTTGCTGGTGCCCAAGGTCAATACGCACCTACAGTTCCTGGAGGGCAGCCACGACCGACAGGCATGGCTCCACAACCTGTGCCACTTGCAGGTGGGCTGGACATGCATGGTTATGCTCTCGATGATGAGGAAATGATGAAGCTTCGAGCAGAAAGAGGTGGAAGAGCGGGAGGGTGGAGTATAGAGTTGAGCAAGAGGAGGGCCCTCGAAGAAGCCTTTGCAAGCATTTGGATTTGATGTTCTTGGTGAATACCAATTTTGGCTCCATGTTACATGATGAAGCTCCTGACAAATGTCTGCATAAAAAACAATTATGCTGAAAGAGAGAAGCTCAATTACTTAAGGACTATTATGAAATGAAAGAGAAGAAGAAAAAGGAGGAGAATGATGGTGGGAAAGTTGAGATTGATCTTGAAAAAGATTTGAGCGCGAGGCAGGGACAGGTATAGGAAATGTGGCAAAACCTTCTAGCTCACATTCTTCCAAGCCTCTTTGAAAGAGAAAAATGAAGTTGCATCATTTATCTAGTGAGTACAAAGATGATGACAGCTCTGATGAAGATGCAATTGAACTTTACCAAAACCACGCCTTATGAGGATGAAGATGATAAATGGTTCTGTTGTAGATGATAATGATTTTTTTTCCTTTTGTAAGGGAAGAACCACTATCATCTTCATCCTCATCCTCATTTTTCTCTTTCCAAGAGGCTCGGAGGAATGTGAACCTGAAGGTTTTCCACATTCCCTTTCCCTTTCCTTGCCTTTTCTTTAGAATCATTTTAAAGATCAATCACAACTCTCCCATTGGCATTCACATCCTTTTTCTTCTTTTCCACATTTTTCCTCCTCTTTCATCTCATGATATACTACATAGCTTTTTTTATGAAGTGGTGTGTCTGTGTGCTCGGCTGCGTTGCTCATCTTGCTTTGGTTCATACAGGGATTAATATTTTCAATAGATCGGAATGCAACTCATGGCAAAAGAAAGTCTCTATTTGTGAGGGTGCAGTAACCCTTTATTTGTACAAGCTTTTGCTTTTAAGAACATTTAAATTTTGAAAAGGCTCATCACCCTTCTCAATCACATGCTAATGGCAGGGTAACTTGTGAGTTGGTTGAATGCTGCAATTTCCTATCTTTTTGATTGCTCTATTATAGGCTCGTAGTGGATCAAAACTGAACTCCAGAACAGAGACTACTTAATATTATTTGGGCCGAAGCAAGTGTCATGAACATGTCCAAAAATTGCAACCACGACTTTGTTCTGTTCATTTATTTGGGCCTAAAATATATGTCCACGTTTAATAGCACTATATAATTTTGCTAAAATTAGAGAACAGAACATATTTCTTTTACTAAAAAAATGTTAAATTTATAGAAAATTTATTGATAACTTTTGCTACAATAAGTTGCAGTTATTTGTGATCAATTTCCTTTTTTTAGTCATTTATATATTATTTATTTTAACATTTTAGAAAATAAAAATACCGAAAATAACTTTTAAACAAAATTTTCAAAGTTAAACGTGTTTGTTAACTTTCCTGACCCCAATATTGGAGCTCAAAAGCAGTTTCCCATCAACCAATAAGAATCGAGCACTCAACCAAGACGATCCGAGTCGTGACCCCTCTAGTCTAATCAAAACCGTCCATTGCGGCTGAGAAAACACAACTTGTTACAGTTTTCACCGTCAGATATCGTACAGAAGAAACACACGGATAGTGAATCTTATCCGTCCGATCCACTTTAATTAGTCCATCCCACCTTCTATAAATATGTGTTAACGGCTACGACGGCCAAACTTTTAACTTCGTTTTCTCTGAGATTACCGGCAACGAAGAGAGAAGACAAAAAAAAGAGTTCCCAACAAATCTTGAGGTTCGTTCCCTTCTCGTTCTCTTTCCTCTTCATCTTCTTCTTCCTCTTTTTTTTTTTTTTTTTTCTAAAAACAATTATATTTCTTTTTTAAAATTATAGGGTTTCGTAGGTTGGCTACTTTTTTTAACTTTGCTTTATGTTTCTTTAACTAGTGTTAATTCAATTGGGAAATCGGAACGGTTTCAGGACTAGGTTGAAATAGTTTGAATTTAGACGCGGTTGGGTTTCTGGAGATAATTGAATTTCTTTAGGTTTGTTTTGTTTTTAAAGTTCTGGGTTAGATTTTTAGGTCCTTTAATTCTGAATTTGATGATTTTTAGGGTTTGGAGACTGCTTACTACGAAAATTAGGGTTTGCTGTGTGACTGCTACGAATAATTTGGGTTAATGTGTTGACGGGGTTAATAAAGAACCGAGATCTGCTGTTTCTTTGTTTTGTTTTAGTTGATGAGCCAATGTAGATTAGAAGTTTTCTAAACTGTTTGAAAATAATCCCTTTTTTTTTTAACAGAGATGGCCCGTACCAAGCAAACCGCTCGTAAGTCAACTGGAGGAAAGGCTCCTAGGAAGCAACTTGCTACCAAGGTATCTTCTTTTCTAAGCATCATAATTTTACCCAATTTAATGTTTCTTGTCTTGTTATTAACTTGCGATCTGTCTCTGTTGCCTATAAGGCTGCCCGTAAGTCCGCCCCAACCACCGGTGGTGTGAAGAAGCCCCATCGCTACCGTCCCGGAACTGTTGCCCTTCGGTTCGTCTTGCTTTACATCAAAGTTTACATTCTTGTATTCTTGTAAGGTTGATTATGGATTTAATGATGTTTTTCTTATATTTTGTTTGAACAGTGAAATTCGTAAGTACCAGAAGAGTACTGAGCTCCTTATCAGGAAATTGCCATTCCAGAGGCTAGTCCGTGAAATTGCGCAGGACTTCAAGGTAGAGAAGGGTGTTTCTCGGATCTTTTCCTTTGCCAAGTGATATTCTGTTATTTGTAGTTGATTTGACTTGTATCCGCTGGGAATTTGTTTTGCAGACTGATCTGCGTTTCCAGAGCCATGCTGTTCTGGCTCTCCAGGAAGCTGCGGAGGCATACCTTGTGGGTCTTTTCGAAGACACCAACCTGTGCGCCATCCACGCCAAGCGTGTTACAATCATGCCCAAGGACATCCAACTGGCTCGTAGGATCAGGGGCGAGCGTGCTTAAGGGTCAAGTTTGATGATCTCAGTTAGGAACAAGAAATTCTTGTTGGTTTTTAGGGAAGGTTGTGTTTTTTGTTTTCTATTTTATGTTCTTTCGGTAGGTAGATAAAAAAGATAGGATGATGCTAGTGGTAGGGTTTAATGTAATGTGATTGTGATGAATGGGATATGGGGGCGGTGGGTGTCTGTCTAATATCTGGTCATGGACAAACTTCAAAGTCTGGGTATATTCTGTTTAAATGTGTTTTTCTTGGACAAAATATGCTCTGCCACGCTGTTGTGGCTTTGAACATCTATCTATTATCTGCCATTCTAAGGTAGTTTGGTGTTGTAATTCTCAGATTGACTGTTTTATGTATTCTCGGTAAATGACAAAGGGCCGTCGTTTTTGACTGTTTGAACTCGTCAGTTTTTTTTCTCTTTCAAGTGCAAGAAACGCGGTAGAAAGCAATTGTCTAGCTCGGCGCGTGTTTATGCGTGTCGGTGTATGTATTCTGCGGCTGCTTTTTATGTGCAAATATATGGGTTTGAATGTAGCGGCCCAAGCAGGAATGGGGACAATCTTATTTTCTTAGGGCCTTTTTTTGAGGAAAATGGGCCGCCGGGGCAACGTAAATTTGCGGTGGATTGTCACGGCTAAAGCCTAGGCTTTATTTAGATTCTTTTCTTTGCGTGCTAAAGCATGGGATGGGACTCCGAGGTATAAGCAATAGAGTAAGGCTTTTCTGTAGTAAAATCCCAATTGAGGAATTTTGGTCTATTCGTTTATCAATTGGGCACATGATGCTGACGCTGATGATGTTAGCCAAATTTGGAATTCGGGCAAGACAGAAGAGCAAAAAGAAGTCTTTTAAACGGAAAACATAGAGGGCAAGCAGCGGTGGATGGTATTAGTACTTTAATTTTAACCATTGGAAGGAGTGGCGCTTTCGTTCTCGCTCGAACTCAAATTATCCCAATTCGTCCTCTGTCCTGGTCTCATGCTCCTTTCTCTTCGCTTTTCCCTCAACTCTCCCTCTCTTCCACCCATATTTCAAATTCCTTCCCTTTCCAATTCTCTTCGCCGTTATTTCAGTTTCACTCCCCATTCCCGTCTAACGCCTCCTAAGCA